GATACAAGTGCTTCTGTGGCTTTGCAGTGAATTGGAGAGCGAGGAATTGATGTGGTTTAAAACTAAATTTAAAGCATAAATCTGGTTTTGTTTCCCCTTCATGTGAACAAGAGAGAGAAGTAGCAGGAACAAACTAGCAAATGAAAGGCGGGACTGCTGCTTTTAGCAGCAGGATTGGCCCACGCTAGTTCCGTAACGGTAAAAAAATGGTGTAAGCACAAACTGAATTTTTAATAGTGCAGAGTATATACTACTGGATAATACCAAATATGGAATCAGAATGTACTTAAACAGAAAAATTCACTCAAGCCTGACTTGACTTCTGCAGCTTTACTGTTTAGCGCAGCAAAGATGTGTAACAACTGAACTGTAGCACGTCATCTGTTCATGTAGCTAAGTCTGTGAAATGGGATGGTTTGCATCTAAAAATGACAAGGTGTGCAGTAGAACTGTTAGTAGTAGGTGAGGAAAGCAAACAAAATTACTCTTTTTTTTTTTTTTTTTGTCCAGGGGAAATATTACCTGTGAAAATTATGACTTGTTCAGTTTGTAGTCTTGTAGGAGGTAGGTTGCATAGGTATGGAGAAGTTCTATGATAGTTTGTATTTTCATAGCATTGTAACAAAAAATCCCAAACAAACAAACAAAAAAAGAGCTACATGCAGTGGCTTCTGTGTCTGGTAGCTAGCAGATACTTGCCTTAATTTTGAGGATTACTTCCCTGAGTTGAAGTCTAACTTTTCAAGGTGCAGGTCAAGATTTTTAGAGCTCTTGTCCTAAATAACAGAGCTCTTGTTTACTCTTTGCTGCTGGCTAAGCCTGATTCCTTTTAAAAAAAGCAAAACAAAACAAAAAAGCTTGTGTAACAAGCTGTCCCACAAATGGTTCAAAACTTGTTGATGATCTCTGAAGTAGTCAAGTAGGTTCCTACAAGACTTGTAGAAAATAGGAACTTGCCTCAGTGTTTGGACCGTGGGAGAGAGCGTGTGTGGTCTTGCTCTCCAGACAGCCATGAATCCATGCAGAGGAGAGGCTTTCATTACATATCCCAGCCATAGGAAAAACTTAATTGGAGTTTGCATTTCATTATATACCAAAGTCCTCGACTGTTTGATATAAATATGTAGGAAACTGGCTTTGATAATTATGGCGCCCATAGCCTATGCCAGCACCACTCCCTTATTTGCAAGGAATAGTGCTATCAGCAGAGGTAATTGTCCCATGAGGTTTCATAATGCTAGTTGTCCCAGTATTGCTGTCACTGAGAAGCATTTGGAAAAAGTATAGGGCTGCTCTTACCACATGCATTGGTCTGATGTTTTGGAACATCTGGGGAGCTTCAGAAGTGCCCTGTAGATCTGCATGTGAGCAGAATGGTCTCAGAAATGGTCATTCTGTCTCTGAAATTTAATTTCTCCTAGTTCATTTTATTAGTTGGAAACAACAGTTGTAGGCTTTTTGGTGGGATGGAGAGTTCCAGCTGCAGGTTGTCTTTGGTAGTGCTGTCCATCTTGTGCATGCTAATGTGCTGGTCCCTAAGGTGCCTCAGGCTTCTGGAGCTATTGGAAGGGTGCAGGGAGAAGGGAAATGGGCTGATTCTGGTGGAGCGGGGTTGTGGGAAGATTGTACAAGGAGCTTCTGTTCTGTTTATGAAGCTCCTGTTGGCTGTGGGGAAGCTCAGAGTCCCCCAGTGTTCAGTGTTCAGTGTTGGCCTTAGTCCTTGTCCCTCCTCTACCTGTGCAGTGCCATCTTGCTGCTGCCAGGGAGGAGGCAGTCGTGGCTCACCCAGGCACTGCTTGGTGGAACAGTTGAGAAAAATGAAGGATAGGAGAGGGCTGCTTCTCTCCCTATAGCTCCTTGTAGCAGTGTTTAGAAAAGCTGACTTGGCAAGGTGTGGGTGGCCATGCCTATATTCGTCCTCCTGAATGCTGAAACCCACTGTGTCCTGTGGGACAGCTCAGTTCAGTAAGGCAGGGACTTGCCCAGAAATGAATGTGGGTCTGCTGCTTCAAGAGCAATCTTCGTTGCGTGCTTACCAGGACACAGACGCTGGGTGAGCGCGTGGGTGCAGGTCCTGTAGTGGCTGACAAGATCCCATGGCATTAATACTGGTTCATTTGGTATGTAGACTGTTTAGGTAGTGGCAAGGAAAGGTGTGGCTCAAGTGCCATGGGGAGTGCTGGTTTGATGAACAAGTTGGGAGTCCTGGCCTAGAAAAAAAATGAAGGCATCTGCTGGCTGTGGAGAGGAAACAGGCAAGTTCTCTGACGTTCTTTTTTTCTCCTGTAAAACATACATATACCTAGTAATTGTCCTAGCTCTTTTTACCAATGTCAGATCAAAATAAAACTTGCAGGTCTATAATTAAAGCATAACAAATAGTAAAGCTACCACTCAATTCCTCCTGCCCTTTTGTGCAAATGAAATTTAGAAATTGGCACAAAGAAAACTTTCATGAAAACTTGTCAGTGCTAATCAGGATGAATGAATTAAACTTTCACTTTGCTTTTATTTCCTTCCTATTTAAAGTTTCCAAAATGCTTTTTAACCTTGAGTGGCTTCTTTCTTTCTCTTCTTTAAAAGACAATTAAATCCCACAGAGACCTGAAATGAAATCAAGTAGCCTTTCCCAGTTATAATTGTTTTGTGAACATGAGAAAAAAACCCACAAAATAACCCCACTAGCCTGGCTTTAACTTTCAGTGGAACTACTTAAATTCAGTACTGTTTAACAGTTACACAAATAAAAAAATTTTAATTAGAGAATATAAAGCTAGTGATGATACTACTTATATTTCTGAAGGAGTTATTGCTTTTTCGGGTTTTCAGATAAAAATACTTGTAGAAAGAATGTTGTCTTCAGGCAAGTTAAAACTTGCTAGCATATTCATGGTAATATAGTGTGTTTGAAAGAAAGCATGTGTATATATCTAGGAAGATTCAAGCTGCAGTATCAAATCACTCCTGTTCTGAGGGCTGGTATTGCCTGTGGATTGTACTGATATGTCTTTCTAGCAATTGGCCTCTTGTGACGAGGATCCGCTGTGTTAAGTGAGTGCTACTCTTGTCTTGTGTAGGGCTAATAACAAGTTTCTAGGTATGAGTAGGCCTGGCATGAAGTAGTAGTGACTTCTGTTCTTTTTCTGCTGTGTTGGGGAATCTCTTTTAATATTCCAGAAAAAATACAGTAGCCTTCCTTATGAAAATGGAAGTGGGAGAACAAGTTCAATTGTAGCCCAGCTGAAAGCCTCTTAACTTACTATGTGTCTCTAGCATCATGTATTAAATGTATATTTAAAAAAAAAAAAAGTGTCTTTATGTTCTAGAGTACTTAAATTTGAGATTATTTCAGTCCTTAAATCTGTTCTTTTGTGCTCACAAACATTCAGCAGTCCTGCAGTTCAGACCACCGGTATTTAGACATTGTGCATGTGAAGTTTTAAACTATTTTCCTGTGTGACACCAGGTGATCCTTACCTGAAGTAATCAGTAAGCCTTCTGCAGGGCAGTGCTCCAGAGCCTTAACAATGAGACCGCTTACTTTCATCCACTACCCATTTCTAATTTGCTTGCGAAAGGATACAAGGCTCTCCAAGTGCATTCTGTTGTAACACTAACTAGTTAGTTAGATATACAAAAAGTACAGATAAGAAAAAAAAAATTCTGGGTTACTGCATTGCTTTTCCTAGTCAGCTGTTGTCATAGAACTGCTCTTACAGCCTGAGCAGTGAGTGGCTCTTAGCCTTCTGCAAGGCTACAAACGAATGATTTTAACCTGTGGATAGTGCAGTGGATGTAGAGCTGAACTAAGTGTATCTCTAATCAGCTAATGAGTTCTCCTAACTTTTTTTTAACCTCTTTTGCTTTGCAGAGAGTTAGAGGAAGAGTTAAAGGTGACTTTCTTCTCTTTTCAGATTCTTTTCCTGACTGTGATGTTAGCTTTTAATCATAAAGACTGTAGGAGAGGGATATATGTGATCAGTGTAGAACAGACCCCACCAGAAAGACAAATGAGGTTTATAAGTGGAATAACATCTGTAGTTCTTCAGGCAAAAGTCTGAAATCTCTGAGGATCAGTTATGGAAGAGGCATCTATGCAGTAAAGCCTTGAGAGATCTTCATACACCAGCTGAGAGTTAGCAGGAATGTTGCAGGTGACAGTGCTGTGATGAGAAGTGTCTACCTGTCCTAAATATTCGGGATGGGGTGGTGGTGAATTCAATGCTTATGCATTGCAAAGGAATTTCCAGTTGATCCCTTCCCTGGAGAAGGAGCTATGTCCCCTTGAGGCTTAAGACTTCTCTGAATAATTAATCCGTTGGGTCTCTGTCCACAGAGAGAAATGAAAGAACTGTCAAAGGCTACTGTGTTACACCTGATAAAGGAAGTCATTAGTGAGTCTTCAGATACAGTCACATAAATTAAAAACACTTGCATCCTTTTTCCTTAATAATAGATGAAGCCTTTAGGATTAGAGCTTAAATAAAAGGGGAAAAAAAACCCCTCCACAACTAAAAAAACCTTACGTGGGAGTAGAGTAAAATTCCCCTTCACTTAGTTTTACTTGCCCAGGAATTACTTTGTTTTTCCAAATCACTCCTGTTCTTCCTCTTGTCTTTTCCATTTCTGCATGAGATGTGGGGAAGGGAGATGGTAGGGTAAAAAGCATTTTTAAAACTCCCCATGTTCTGAATTACAGAGAAGATTTGTTCTTCAAAATTCCTTTAATTCTAGAGGTGAAGAAGTATTTCTGTGGCTGAACAACTCTATTTCGTTTGTAGTTGATTGCCTTATTAATGATGAATAAATTTTCAACCATTGATGGGTAAAGAACGTTTGAATGTTCATAATTCAGGAAACAAAACTTATGCTTGTTACTTTTTTGGTTTTGCCCATGCATTTGACAACATCAGCATATTGTGGCCAAATTGCTGCTCTCCTTTTCTGTATTCCAAATTAGTGGTGGTTTATGGCAAACTCTTTTTTTTGTTTATTTCTAGGTATAATGGATCCCTCCCTAATGGTGACAGAGGACGCAGGAAAAGCAGATTTGCCCTTTATAAGCGACCTAAGGCAAATGGAGTTAAGCCCAGCACTGTTCATGTGATTTCTACTCCTCAAGCGTCGAAGGTATGTGACAGTGGAGCAAACCCTGTTTTTCTGATGATCCTGGGTGGAGAACAACTCATGTATTACTGATGATTTACCTTGGTGCCAGTTCATTCTGTGGTAGATAATTTGTTTTAATGAAAAGTCTGCAGTGGATTTTCTTTCTGGGCGTATATATCTTTAATTTTAATCCAGTTACCTGTTTAAAATAGTCTTTAACCTCAGATATGAGGGAATCTGACCCTTCTGGCCCTGTTCAGAAAGCTGACTTTGTCAGTGCTGACTGTTTTATCTGAGCCATACAGTAGTCAGGTGATGTAAATACAAAAAGTATTTTAATTTCTTTCTCACTGGAGTGTAAGATTCGTATGTCTCTTTCCTCTCCAGGAGGATAACTGACATGGTATTAAAAAAAGTCATGATCCCTCTGGGCCTTTCATTTTTGTTGCTAATAATCATATTGTATTTGTTTTTTACCTGAAGTTTAGTGTAGGTGAAGGAGGAAAAGCAATAAAGTAAATATATTAAGGTAGTAATTTATGAAGGAAGAGCAGTAAAGTAAGGATGTTAATATAGTAATATATTAACCCATAGAACTGTCCAGGTTACAATTCTGGTGGTGGAACATATTTCAAGCTCAAAAAGTCATGCTATCTCTTCCCTCAAAGCTGCCTTCCTAGAAGCAAAAAGTGACCAGAGTTTGGGCCAAACTGGAGGGGGAGTTCTGTGGTGACACTCACAAAAGTGGATGGTTTGCAAGAGGTGTACGTCACTTTTACAGAAATGTGTATTGGAGGAGAGGGAGAACCTACACAATTCTTAGAACTGTGTTGTCTAACTTAGATCAAGAGAAGAATATTGTTTAATACATAGTATAGGATTATGTTTTCTTTTATAATACATACCATACACAGTATAAAAGCTAAACTTACAAAATACAGAGTATCAAGCTTGTTTTTTTTAAAGATTGTATAGGGCCTGCCTAGTGCAGATAAATATGTAGTCTTTTGGATTAAAAGTGTCTGTAAATATTTTTCAGTGTTGGTATTCTCAAAAAGAAAGCATTTGTGAGTTAAATTTTCCTGACGAAATCAACCTTCAAAATAGGCCCTTAGTATATGTTTGTATGTTGGTAACTCTGGTCTATTGCTTAAAATGTAACAAATAAAAAAATGTGTTTTACATAGCTGGTGGAAATATACACATGTTCTCACTGGATAATCTTAAGCATTTGAACTGCAGATAGTATTTTGGCATTTGAGTTGCAAAATATTTAAACACCTGGCAGACACTGCAAGGTATCTGCTTAATGTTCATCTGCATTGTTATTGTGCAGATAAAATATGTTTGCTGTACAAATTAGTGCCCTTATAAAGATAGCATAGGGTCCGAGACATTAAAGCCCCTTCTTTGAGGATTTGGATTCAGGTAGATATGTTAGGTTGAATGTATGGTCTTGCACTTTCTCTGAACCCTTTTAAAAGAGCTTATGTGTATTTAGACTGTTGTCTGGGGCATGGCTGGTGGATGTGTGCCAGAACAGTGATGCAGTGGATTTCAGTTAGTGCTCTTTCGATGCACAGAAAGAACACTTATGTTTTAAGATGCTTTTGTAGGCTTTTCTGACATCTTAGATACCAGAGCCTAAATCTGTTTTACTAGGGATGGTTTCTGCATACAGCTTTTGTAAATGACTGCAGACACATAGACTAATAGAGAAAAGCTTTGCTGTTAGAAAATAATGTGCAACTTGACCTCAAAAATTTTGTTCTGCTCTCAAGTCTTTCAGTCTAACTCTTACTTAAGGAAGTTTAAAATGGTGGGAACTTGTGCTGCACAGGATATTAACAAGTTTCCTCCCTTTACATCCTTCCTTCTAACTTTTCAGATAGCAGTTCTCTGTTTTGCTTTGCTTGTCTGTCACTGTGTAAACTGAATCTTTGAGTAGAAAAAAACATGTTATTTTTAGAGTAGTGATGCTTTTTTGGGTGGTGGATTTAGCAGAGGTGGATAAAGGACTAACTGTCTCCATTTGTTTTGTCTCTGCTGTGGCATGGATGCTTGCAAAAGGTGCATAGCTGGTTTTGTGCTAATTGCATTACTGCAGCAGCTCAAGAACTGTAGCTGTCGCCAATTTTAATTTAGTGTGTAAGCCTGAAAACTGCAATAGATCGTAAGAGGATGCTTGTCATGTTCCATTGTCCCTGCTATGCAGGTGTCAAGGACAGCTGGAGTAGCACTGGTTTCAGTAGTAAATTTAGCTCAGCTAATTGCATATGAATCAGTGCCTTTTGTTTTTTCCACTGGAGTGCTTGTTTTTTGCCACGCTGCCTTCTGGAGGTGCTGAAGAAAATTTAGAATTGTTTGGCCTTCTGAGGGTATATGGGTATATTTGGGGGGAAGGCACTGCATGGGGTAATGAGTCTCAAGTTTTTTCAGAGTATTGTTAAAATATGCATGCATCTCTTCAACAGTATGCACTTGACTTTAAAACCTATTTTATTAACTATGCTTAGGTACCATTCAGGCAATTTTCTAGTGTCCCCTATTTTACAAAACTCAGACCGTTTGTTTGAGACTTTTTCCAGCATTGTCAAAATTGGTGTTACTGTAAGAAAGGAAGCTTAAAACTCTTATGCTGCCCCTTGTTTGTGTGTGTGTATGTGTCTGGGGTGGGGAGAAGTGTGAGGCTTTCATTAACTGCGTGTGAACCTTACTCAAGGTTTGAATAATCCCCTTTGCTAGACTAGAGAGTTTGTTTCAAAATCATCAAGTCACAGGAGAGGCCATTCTTTGCATTGGGGCTTGGGTCTTATGATGAAGAGGAAGGCTGTTGTTAGTCATGATCAGATGATCTGTGAAACCTTCCTCTGACTACCAGACTCTTAGGTGTGAGTTTGCTACTAGCTTATTGTGACATAGCTAGGATTGCTGAATTTTATTTTCAAGCTGTTAGAGCTATTTAACAAAATCAAAAGTTAGTTGTAATGTTTATTTTGTTTGGTTGAGTTGTCTTAACTGTTGCTTTCACGCACAATAGTTTGCGCTGTGGAACTCAAGTCTAGGTCTGCCGGTGTTGGAGATGATTACAAATTTTACTTCTGCAGAAATTTTCCAGTGAGTGCTGAACTTCAAGTGAGAGGGGGGTGTAAGTTTTCAGAATAATCACCTGGGAATGATGGGATGCTAAAGTAGAGTTTACTAGGTATTTTTGGGGGGATGTGGGAGGTTTTTTAAGGGTTTTTTGTGGTTGGGGGTGTGGTTGGTCTGGGGGTATATACATGTCTGACAGGAAAAGAGGTGTCTAACTGAAAACAAAACCAGCTTAATATTGCTGTAGAAAAATATTTGAGGACAGTATATCTTTCTTACAGATCTTAAGTAGGTGAATAATATGCCCTGTCTTATATAAAACTGTATGATCCCAATTTCTGCTAAGCAAAGGTGTTCATGTTCCTGTACAGATCCAATCTGTTGATTCAGTGGGCTGTTAGGTTAACACTTGCCCCTGTGCAAACACAAGTGGATCTTCACTCCTGTTTCCTCCTCTTCATAGCCATCACCAACTCCTTGTTGGATGTTGTTAGTTGGAGGAGTTCTTTTTGTGGAACAGTGGGAGATAACTCCCCCAGTTCCATAGAGGGGGAGCTGCTGGCTGCTGACATTAACAATGAGATTACTGGTGATACTGAACACTCAAGTCATGTTATCCCCCATGACTTTAGGTATGCATACATTTAGATTTCTTTATTGGTTTCTCATGCTTTGGAATTACACCCACGGAAGTGAAGCTTAGAAAAATGAAGAAGGTGCTTCACGTGCATTTGAGTTACTTGAAGTACGGCATCAGGAAGGGTGAGTTGTTGACATTAGCCCTCCGGGATGCCCTAGGATTCCTTTGGAAGCATGAATGAATTCTATTGTAACAGCATGTGCGATATTTGAGACCTTACAAAGTATTGAGTCAGTGGGCAAGAGAATATAACTAGGAAGCATTGGAAGTAGTCCTTTCTAACGAGTGACTGTTGTGCTTTGATAGCTAAGGAGTTGCATTCTTAACACTGACTTGATGGGAGGATCGCAAATGTCTTTTGATTTGCTGCAGAGTACAAAAAAAAAAAGCCACCTTTAATACCTTTTTATGGTGGTATGTCGTCGTATTTATTATGTCTGTCTGTCTTGGGATCAAAGTTTTCCTTTGGTAACCTGTGGTAGATAAAGACAACCTATTTTCTCCCCTATGAAATTACTATTTCAAGCTGACTGGGGAAGATCTTTCCGACTTCAAGTCCAATTACCTGCCGAGTTGGCTTCTGCTTTGTGCTATCACAACAGCAGCTTGTATAGTCACTGGCTGGGTTCCTGCAGCTCAAATCAAGTTTCATGCTGCTACTGGAGAAGAACAAAATGCAGCCATACAAATAATTATTAGGTTAGGGAGAGAACTACAATTTGTGCTTTGAGTGATGAGAGAAAATGAAAGTATAGGGTTCTTGTGATTAGTTATCTACTGTAGATATTGCATCTGCTTTGACGTACTTTGTGAATTTTGAGTAAAAAGACCAGAAATCCTTTTGGCACTGACAGCTTTTTGGTGTTCATTGTGGATGAGAGCTGTAGAGCTCAGCTGCTGTCAGGAGGATACTCTGTCTGTCAGTGGCTTCTCTCTTTCATATTGGGCTTATTTATGGTGTTATCAGTTCATGGAGCACTAATTTGTTCTGAAGTAACTTAATCAGATAGGTATCTTGAGTCCTGAGTTGTGCAGAGGCAGCTTTTTCTTGGTTCATCAGACTGAATCTGCTCGAATAATAGTTTCCTCGGTGTAATGTCCTTTTTTTTTTTTCTTCTATTAAGTGCATCATCTTAACGTGCTAAATCCCTATCCCTTGCCCTTGCAAATAGTAGGGAATGGTTAGAAGAAAATGGTTAGACCAATTTCATTAGTAGGGCTTAATAAATAACAACTGTTACTTGGTTTGAAGCTCTCCTTCCTGGGCTTTTGGGACCTATTGAGCAGA